AGCTGGATGGTATTAATTATCCGACCTTAAAATAGATAGATAGCTGGATGGATTAAATTATTCCGAACCCTTAAAATAGATAGATAGCTGGATGGATTAAATTATCGGAACTTTAAAATGATAGATAGCTGGATGGATTAAATTATCCGAACCTTCAATGATAGATAGCTGGATGGATTAAATTATCCGAACCTTAAAATGATAGATAGCTGGATGGATTAAGTTATCCGAACCTTAATATGATAGATAGCTGGATGGATTAAATTATCCGAACCTTAAAATAATAGATAGCTGGATGGATTAAGTTATCCGAACCTTAAAATGATAGATAGCTGGATAGATTAAATTATCCGAACCTTAATATGATAGATAGCTGGATGGATTAAATTATCCGAACCTTAAAATAATAGATAGCTGGATGGATTAAATTATCCGAATTTTATATCCATGACAAACTCTAAAACTTTGCATTGTTTGACAGAATACAGAAAAACTAATTTTATATTGTTCATTTATTAGTATTCCAAACTCCATACCTGAAAGCATGAATTTTTTCAAATATTACTTAAAAGGGATGAAATGCGCATTACTCATGTTTTCAAATTACATACGTCAACGCATACTTCTCATGTTTTTACTTACTATTTTTTTATCAGTGTGACGTACGTAGGTGACTTCGTGACTAAGAAAGGAACAATATGACATACGGAGCCTACCAAATAACGATCCGTCCAACTAAATCAGACTTTCAGTAATCTCTTATTGAAGGATTGATTCAGATTTTGTTATGAAGGAAATAGATTTTGAGACAGCGATTAAGGTAAGTATAAACTTACTCTTAAGACATGCAACATACAGAATTTTAGCGTTATTCACTACAGCATTTCATTTCAATATATCATAGTTTTGATACTTAGTATAGACTAGTATCGTATAAAATATTAATAATGATTAAGCACGCACATACAATGAACAAGCAGGGATCGAATCCCAAATTATAGATGGATAGCTAAGAGCAAGAGAAAGACAAGCCGTCCATTTCGTGACCCATTTTTACCAGTTGTTTTGAGCTCTGATACTGTATTTTTTGCTAAATGCAATGACCTCTCAGTTATGGTTTTGTCGACTTATAATGATAATAAACAGTCACAAACAAAATAGTATTTTCTCAAGCCATCGTCTTAGAGTTGAGATTATTCTCATCTTCAACTTATCGTTCTACTTCTGTGATGGATATGTGTTCTCTAACAAAAGAGTTCTTTTGTTTGAGAAAACTAATGTTGAAATTGCTTTTGAACCGCGAAAAAGGAAAATGTTACGTAATTTAATTTAAACATATACAGTATTGACCTGAAATTAAGACGACCTTACTTTTTTAAGAACAATACACTAATTTTTTAAAGTAAAAATTATACAGTAAACCTAAGCATTAATAAGACGGCACTATAAAACAGATAAGACAATTTCAGCGAAGAATGGGGGTGTCAGCGATACTTGTTTGTTTATAGTTAAGCGCAAAGCTCCACAATGGGCTATTTATGCTCTGTTCACCACGGGTATCGAAACGTGGTTTTTAGCACTGTGACTCCACAGACATACCGCTGTGCCACTGGGCGTGTCAGCAATACATTTTTTCTTGCTATAAAGATATGATAGTTTTTTCTAATGTAAAAGTTCAGGTTTGGTGTTACAATATGTTAATTTAACAAAGGCTTTTATACATCATTTGTAACTTGATGCACCACAAGAAATTGTCTATATAATTTTAAAGGTAGGTGCTGGTAGTGTTATAACTGTCAGTTTTTAGCAAAAAAAATGGTATTGTATCTTAAATACGATACCTACTCGTTAGGTAAGAAAGGAAACAAATATTATCGAAATACGTCACTTGCATCACCCCAGAAGAAAGTCCTTATTCACAAATGTCATAGCCATCACATTTTAATTTTCTCCTCACTGCTGTCTGAGTTTTGTTCCCCTTGTGCGTCGTCTTTCTACAGAAATGCCATCGTCACTCGCGTCCATTTTATTTGATATTCAGCATGTCAACTTGACTCGGAGCATAGTCCACGAATACAAGGAGAGCTGGATTTTTCAAATCTTACATCTTACTTTTTTCTTAAAGTCATCTTAAATTCGGTCTAATGCCATATATATGTGTATGCTATTCTGAGAAATAAAAGAGACTCATCTATCGTCAAACAGAACAATTTTATAAAGATTTCTGTGAAGTGAGTTTCTTTTCGGAAGAGTTTGAAAGAACCACGAAACTGTAATGTATTTCTTCAGAGTAGTAATTGTTTTTCTACTATCACTGATACGGTTCTTTTATCTCATATTCTGGCAATTACTATAATATTTCATTTCTTTCGTTTGTTTTTCTCTGCACTAAAACCTCGCGTTCTCACAGAAGGTTTTGAAGCCATCGTGAATTAACGCCATGGTTAGTGCGTGATCCCTAAGGCGAACGAGTAATCTGTTGTTTGTAGCGACATATATTTGTGTCTCTAATTTGTTTCTTCACTCTAGCTTATCAGTTTAAAATTTGGGACGAATAACTCAGATAACCCTTTTGTAGATTTGCGTGAATATCAGAAGAAAACAAACAAAAATCCTTTCCTCCACAAGCGAGAAAGCAAGGAAGTTTAAACTTTATTATTCATACTGAACTAATATCCAAAATATTTGTTTCATTTATCCAAACATCTTAACTTCTCATGCCAGTGTAATTGATTTTGTTTTTTCTAACATGATTTGTAAGAATTCTTTTTAATTGAATATTTCAGATATGCAACTGTAAAGCACAACGACGTCAGTTGTAAAAGTTATGATTTATATTCATCAATAACCTTACTTGATAATGGATGAATAAAAAAATTAACTTTTGGGCTATTTGTGCAATTTATTTATTAAACACAAGCTTTCAGGCTCGTTATTAAATGTAGCACGTTCTGTAATGCTTTCTCTAATGTACGAAACGTTACATTCATACTTAAACTGTCTCTCGTTTTACAAAAGCATTATGGAATTACTACATTACTACAGCTTTTAGTTTTAAGATTTTCCCACAATTAAAAAACTACACTCAAACTTAATTACATATATATATGTGTGTGTATGTGGGTGTGAGTGTTCTGTACCCTTTAAAAAGAATATTTTAGGAGCTATGCTTTTTTTTTGCATATCAACTATTGATTTATGTGTTTTCTATTTTTGTTTCAGGTAGTTATTGTTGGTAATGGAGCAGTCGGCAAGTCAAGCATGATCCAAAAGTACTGTAAGGGTATTTTCACTACCGAGTACAAGAAAACCATTGGCGTAGACTTCCTGGAAAGGCAGATAGAGTAAGAATTTTTGTAAAACAAATTTAAAACTTTCCCATCAAAATGATATTCAGGGGACATTTTTTTCATCATATATTTTCCAAAGATAACTCATTTTAAGACACATTATGCTGTTTATCTATAAAGTCACAAACAAACGGATTTATAAGCATAATAAGATATTTTCTCTCTCTTCTCACACTTTCAACATCAGCTCACCAGTGCTGGATATCTTGTTTAGTTCAGGTGCTAAGTTCTTTATGGCTAATGTTTCTTTTAACTTTAGCCACTGTTCATTTTCATCCTTTCCGATAATTTGGAAATGTTCAATTTTTACATTTACATTCGTGCATTCAAGGTATGCAGAATTCTCAAACATTTTCCGACATAAAGAAGAATGCGTGAATGTAAATGTAAAAATTATAGAAATCTATTGTGAGCAATAAAAATAATATAAGAAGTGAATGTTTAAACATTTTAACAAAAATTTGTATTTCTACTGATACGAAACGTATGAATAAAATACTAATTGAGGAAAAAGCTCGAACTATTTTAAAGGAATTAACGGATAAGGGTATGCTCCTACAAAAAACTTTTAAAATATTTAAATACTTTTATATAGAATTGAAAGGCAAAATTGTTTACTGATAGTGGAAAACTTTGTTTGTTTGTTATTAAACACAAAGCTATACAACAGGCTACCCGTGCTCTGCCCATCGCGGGTATCGAAACCCAATTTTTAACGTTATAAGCTCCATGTTTATCGCTGAGCCACTGGAGGGAAATTATCATCGTCAGAAATATATACATTGCCAAATTTCCATAAAAGGTATGTTTCTTAGAGTTTTTCTCCAGTGGGTCCACGGAAAATTTACGGTCTTTCAACAATAAAATCCGGGATTCGATTCCTCTTGATAGAAAGATCGCAAGTAGCTTTTCCTTACAAACAACAACACGGGTAGTAGACTAGGTTCATTCGCGCATCTTTTTAGCATATTTATTGGTGAAGATACTGCCTTAAACATTCGTGAACTTAAGTATACGGTGAAAAATTATGTTGCTCTTGTAAAGATATTTTAAGGTATTTTAAAGGAGAACTAATAATCTGCTTCTATCCTTAAACGTTATTTCATTTTTTAAAGATGTGTCCATTGATAAAGTCTTAGAGCCTGTCAAGTGAATAATAATTAAGGGATATCCTAGAATTTACCTCAACTTTTAGTGAAGAATTGGTAAATATGTGTTGAGAATTCTGTTTTCAAAATCATAATAAATCTTATCAATAAGTTAGTGGTTTAACGACTAGATCTCATTTATTTTCTGTTTTAAGCGACATTTTTTAAGGATGTTTTTGAAACGACCAAGTTAATTCAAGTTATTTCACAACCCATTGGATATAAAATGTTTGTTGAGAATACTTTATTGATGTAGAGATATAGCAAACACACTTTATATATATATGGATGATAATAATTAATAAATTAATAATACTGTGGAAGGTGATTGACATAAGTTATCCCCTTTAGATGTTTTGAATTGTTTAGAATTGTTAAGCTTCAGTGTGCATCGAAATTTTTTTGCTGTTAATACACACACATACACACATCCTCATCATATATCTAAATGCCATATAAGCCAGAAATTATTTTTTGTACGTATGCGTGGCGAGACCTTAACGTTTGTTATGACATCAATGATTTAAATAATGAAAATATTATATCTAATATCTGGGAGTAGATGTATTGAACCAATTGTAGTTGATAGAGCTTTTCAAACAACGAAGAAATATATTTACAATGGAGCTATTGGGAATTGATTCCTAAAGAATCTTGTAAAAAGTAATTTATTGGTATATCTTACTTTCCAGATATTTGTGAACAAACCCATTTAGACAACTTGGAGATAATGTGAATTTTTTTCACACAGAACATCGGAAATTATCTAAAACCCACAGACAAATAACAAAAAGAAAATGGCATATACCAAATTAATTGTATTGAAATAATGTTCATATTGGTAAAACGAAAATAACTTTGAAAATACGATTAAAAATAACTTCTAAATGGTATAAAAATAGCGAAACTATATTTGCACATGTGATCCAAAAATTTTTGGAGTTGTAATAGGAAGTATGATTGGAATTATGTGAAAAAAAAATTGTATCGTGTAAGACATTTTTAAACAAAGAACTTCCAGTCGCAAAACACTTTAGCATGCCTGGACACTCCCTTGAAGACATTAAACTGACAGATATACAGACAAATTTTACATTAAACAGAAACAGGGAAATTAAAGAAGCTTACTGGATTGCACTATTAAATACTGTAATGCCAAATGGCATCAATCTCGATTCCGGGATTGTTGACCTTCGTAAGTCTCTGAAAAGATTTTTCAAAACTAAATTCATAATTAAGCTTACTTTACATTATTAGTATTAGTCATGTTTTAATTTCTCTATATTGTTATTATTTCCTATATATTGCGTCACATTATCATTTTCTCTATTTCTCACCACCTTTTACCGTTATTTTATTTTTAATTTTAATTTTATCTTTATAAAGATTGGTTAACATTTCTTATAACTATTATTACATTTATGTCTTTTATGTATTGTACACATCTCTTTGGCACAAACTAAACCTGACACCAACAACTCTAGGTTATGATTGGCTAGTTCTCAAGGTTAACTGATATTGAACATCCGCGCCTATATATTTCATTACATTCATTAAACATAGCCCTTTAATCTCCTGAAGAAGAATAGTGAACTATTCGAAAGCGCTCGAATTTTGGATCTCGTTTGAAAACCATTACAACTTTTGTCTGTGATCCTGTGTGCTAACTTCTTAGTCAGAATGTAAACAGAGGAAATAGCCCGAAAAATTAAAATTTCTAGAAAAAAAAAATGTTTTCCCTCTAATACTTGAGTATCAATAGAGTGAGATATCAATGTAATGATGGGCCTGATGATAGCAAAGGATGTTGCTGAAAGTATTTGACTCGTGTTTTGTGATCAATAAATGTGTAATTATACTTATAAACTTCGTTTCTTTTGGTTTTAGAGGTAAACATAATACGTCTTAAAATAAATTAAAATATGAATTCAAAAAATAAATTCTGAAATCTTTACAAGTATCTCTTATCATTGTTTAAATAAATACAATATTGTTATCAAACAACGATGCACTTCAAAAACTGTATATCTACATGGACATTGTTCTGACAGAGTGGACAGCGAGGACGTAAGGATGATGTTATGGGACACAGCCGGACAAGAAGAATTTGATGCCATTACAAAAGCCTATTATAGAGGTACACCAAACTTGAAATTTCTACTTTGCTGAATGGGGGAAATATAAATGTATATCAAATGAAAGGGTATGTTATATAGCAGTGTGCAACAAAGTTCCATAACATGGTATAACTATATACAAATCTTGCGGTATATAGAAACTAAGTAATGTAATCATAGTATCACCTAGAAACTTAAGTCAAGTATCATCGACAAAGTTTGAATGCTGGGATTATTTTCAGACAAGTAACACGAATTGAAAATAATCGCGAACACTACAGTAATTGATAAGCTTGACTGTTTTACGTATCGTAGTTTTTTTTTATATTAAGTATTATTTCTAACACGATATGTTTTATTGTGCGTTTTCTTTTGTGATTTTATACCAGGTGCTCAAGCAGGTGTGTTGGTGTTTTCATCTCTAGATCTCGACTCCTTTAAAGCCATTGAGACTTGGAAACAGAAGGTTAGACTTCATAAATAAATTCAGAACAAAACTACTTTACATATTTATGAATATTCTATATTTATGTTCAATAGTATGTTATTCAAGTATTTTAATAGAGAAGAAGTCCTATCAAATTATTTTTCAAGTTTTCAATTGTTTTTAGGCTTAGTAGCGCAAGCACAACATGTTAAGCTCAAATACATACCAATCCGATCATTCTACTTCCTCATTTTAAAAACTTATGTTTATACATTATAGAAACCTTACTTCAAATATTTGCCAATACTTCAAAATTCTCTTATGAGAGGTTGCATTCCAAAAGTCAACAGAAACTCTTTTTAAACAAAAACTGCAAGAATCAGTGCCCTAAGGTGAATTATCTGTCTTGCTCAGTGAGTTAAACGATCTGAAAGTCAAAGACACAAAGGGCATAGACGAATGTAAAACAAAGTCAATAATTAATATAATTTACTGTTATGTATACGTTTTACTAATACACTCGGCTCTAGTATAATTTCACACTAATATTTTTGTTTCTGATTCTGTTCACTGTAGTTTATTAAATTTCGTAATTCTAATGTTTAAGAAAACTCCTTTAATTAAATTGTTGACTGCGGGTGGGCACTGTGTTGACCTCTGTACTTCGGGTTCGAATCCTTGCGAGACCACAACATTTTCTTTGCAACTTAAGATGTGGGTGTATTATAAGAGCGACAGTCAATCCATTGTCGTTGATGGAGGGTAGTAGGGTGCTGCTAATTGATTTCTTTTCCTCTGGTCAGTAGTTGAAAACAAGGGAAGGCGGCAAGTAGCCTTATTAACTTTACCTTAAATACAAAATGAAAATATTTTAAAAACAAAATCGAAACTCACTCCGAATAAACTTAAATATCTTCATAATCAGTAAGTATTTGTTTTAAAAGTGTTGATATTACACTCTTTTTTAATTTTATTTCACTTAAAAATGTGTTAATAGTTACTTACAACAAGCGCTTCTGATGGGAAGAAATAAATCACTAACGATTTCACAGGCCTGCGAATTTAAACTTCATAAAAGTTGTTTCGGTTTTAATAACAGATTTTCCATAATTCAGCTACGTAGATTTTTAAAATAATATTTATTTTTTTCTACCAAGGTAAGGATTTTTTATAAATCGGGACTGAAAAACCAACTCTTACTTAGATCAAATTATTATTTCGTTTACCACAATGAACATTTTTAATCATTATGTTTGTTAACAAAAATACAAACAAACTGAAGAAAATGGAAGAACATTGATGTCAAACGAATATCCTCATTCATCCTGATTTTATTTGTGAAGTCTACGCCTTTTAGTCTCTATAGTACGTGTTGTGGTCTTTCTTTTATGTATTGCGTTATGACGTTTTGTGAAAAATCTGTACGTG